TACGCTTACAATTCACCACGTCCTGTCACCGTGAGAGTCTGCACCAGAAAGGCGTACGAAACTACATGTCCTACCAAAGTAATTTTATATTCAAATAATTGAACTCTAGGGAAAAAATTACATCGAAAATCAATGGGCATTTCAAAATTTCTACTCGATTCAATTAGTCTTAAAAAAAGATCCTGTTGACCTTGAAAACCAGTGAGATATCGAAATAATTGGAATCATTGAAGGCATTTGGAAGGATTTCATGATTTCATGATTTCATGATTTAGACTGATTTAAAATGATTTAAATAATTTCAACAATTCCAGGGTTTCAACATTTTTTGTGATTAATTTATTAAATGAAATCTTCCAAAATTATTATTAAAATTATATCCACAGTTATTAATTTATAATAATTGATAATTGTAAAAATTTCAGTTTTTTTTAATTAAAATTTAAATCGTAGTTTCCGGTGTAGGATATCCAGAATCCCATCTATCAGGTTTTCCTTATTATATTTGATATAAAATTATTTATCAAAAATCATTCAATTAATTTAATAATTTATTAAATTAATTAAGCATTTGCACTGAATTCTGGGCTAATGCGGGGAATTTATATCGATCTTTAAAAGCACTTGGCGTTACCTAGATTTCACGACGGAACGTAAATGAATTTTGCACGCAAAAAGCATTACTGTAATGAAATTGTAAAAATTTGAATATTTTTAAATATTTAGGGTCGCCCCTGTGAACTGAAACCGCGCAATGAGTTTTTTTTTATCTTAAAAAATTCAGATTATTCCCCTAGATTAATCTATCCACCTGCAAAAACGTTGGAATTTTTTTTCTGATTATCAATATCAATAAACATTTACATAATAAATAGAAATTAAATTCGTGATATAAATGGATGTAAATGTTTATACGATTTTAATTAGTTGTGATGTGATTTAAATTCGTGGATTTGGTAAATTTTTGTGAATAAAATCGGGGAAGAGTTTTCAGTTGGAAATGTTTTTACTGGTGTCATCTCAAAATATTTAACGACCTGACACTCAATTCGTCGCACTGTCCAGTTGAAACTAGAAGTGGTCTCGGAGGGATTCAGTCGTCATCCTCTTGTCCCACGTCGTCACTCCGTTGTGAGAGGGACGACAGATGTGCAGCTGTAATTCGTGAATGTACACTGGGAATTCAGGATGATTCACTATATCCTCATTCGGAATTAGTTCCCTCGGTGTGATGTTATCAATAATGCGTCGATGCTTCCTATAACAGCCCTCCAATTCCCATCGAACACTCGATATTAATTTCAACGGGCATAATTAAAATTCCATCAGTGTCAAAGATTCTAATTCATCACGAATTTAATTACTATTTTATTATCCCCACTATCTCAATAACGATCAAGATATGGTTATGGTTTCTGTAATAATTTGTTCGTTATTTGAAATAATAATGGGATTGTTATTATTTTATTTCACTTGTGAGAATAATTGCTTAATTAAGAGGAAGTTAATTAACAACTAACTGATGAATTATATGACTAACTATTTTTTTTATTACAATATGAGTACATGGTGGTAAGAATTTGGAGAATTTTTGAGAAATTGTTTTAAAAGTGAGTAATGAAATTAATTAATAGTCGCAGATTTCAATATTTCTGATTGCGAGTGCTAACTATTGAATTGAATAAATTTGTTTATAACAACTGATTGCAATTTTGAGTTCAATTATAACGTTATTTTAATATTTGAATTTAGTATTCGGTTAAATATGTCTGAGGATGCATTTAATTTATAAATATATTTTTGATGGCAAAAAAACAGTCACCACATTTTACTGAATTTTTCTCTCAGTGTAACTATTAATTCAATAAAAGGAGTTGATAGGATAATCCTCCAATTAAGTAGAATGTCATATTCACTTGCCGCATTTCCATTTTTAATTCTCTCTCAGTGATGACCCCACAATTAACTTTTAATTGACTTTGCAGATGTCAAGCTGCTCGCCGACACTAGCGGAGGAGAATCGCCCTTCAAAGTTGGTCGCCGGTGCTAAACTTGTGATGAAAGGTTCGATAGTAGCGGGCCTCATCTACTGGACGTCCGTGGAGGGGATGTGGGGGGATTCCCGTCAGACTGAGAATCTCTACTACAGGGTGATGGCCACTATCGCTCCAAACCTGCCGGACATACCCGGGATGGAGCAAGTAATTACAAATGGCGAAAATTGAATAGTAAAAATTGTCACGTCCACAGGATTTTCTGCCTTGGCATAGTAATAGGATAAAAAAAAAATAATAATAGTTATCCCTCTTATACAGAAGCTGAAACAAAACTATAACATGTAGTGGTGTCCTTCACGATATTTGACATAGTAACAAGTACAAGGTCAAATGAGAAAGCTTACTATGTCACATTTTAATAGTTACTATGTGCCACATTATTATGATTACTATATGTTACATAGTAGTATTATTACGTCCTGTAGTAATGAAGATTCATAGTTTTATTTCGCATGTTCACATAATAGTGACTACTATGCCAACATGAAAATTAGCGCAGTTCACTATTAATATACGAACACGATAGTACCACGGGAACATGACAATGGTTATCATCTCATTATGGTAATAGTTACAGCGTACCATAGTGATAACTATGCCCGTGTTTACTATGTCAACAATTTAATAGGTTTCGTATCAAGATAGAAATTAGTTACTATGTCAAAACGGAAGGTATACAAGAAGGTATTACTATGCCAATTGTTACTATTTCAGCAAAGTAATATTCACTATTGAATTCTCCTCGTGTATTCACTGATAGAATCTGAATGATTCCGTTAATACTAAATTGTGAATTAAATAGATCATTTCGTTTTTATCCGTTTAGATCGAATACAAAGTCGTTGTGGAATGAACAATTAATTATGTTGACGTAAACGAGTCTGCGGTAATAGTTATCGACTCTCGTTTGCATTAACCCAATTCTTCTATCAGTTCTCAAATGATCGGGCAATCATCCCTCGGGGAATTAACTGGATAATGAAATTTATTTTCATGATGAAGCTGCCGCGCATTGATAAAATGATCCATGGTATTTTTGAGGGATACAATCATGCTGTTGTGGCGCTCATGCATGTTTTAATTACTGTACCCACGGTGATATCACAAAAAATGGGAGAGATATTGTGCCCGGAGAGCAGGGAGATCGAGGATGATGAGACGACGAAATAAATTGAGGAAAAAATTGGTTTTGCCTTTTTATGGGTGATGTTAAAAAATTATTTCAACACTGAATGTTTATACCGAGGGGAAAATTAATTTTTCTACCGGTTTATCTCGTATGTAAAATTAGATTTCTTATAAAGAATAATTATTATAATGTTTTTCTTTTAATACTTTTTCTTTGATAGATCTGTGGAAATTCTCGTGGAGTTAATTTTGTTTTTT